TTTGTGGTGGAAGGCATGGCATTGACGAATGTACTACACCAGATGATGAGAACATGAAGGACACCATATGGCGCATGAGGTTGATCATGGATCAGAAGTCCAAATCCCCATCATCATCCGAAAGGTCCAAAGCTGCAACCAGAGGCAGAAAAGACAAGCTCCCAAAGAACGTCATGCCACGAGGAAAGCGTTGGGGAAGAACCAGATTCACTGAGAAAGAGGAAGTGACCAAGTGCTTCTACAGTCAGTCAGCCTTTATGTACGACATTGGTGATCGTGAAGAAGGAGGACAATACTTAGTGAATGGTGTCGAAGTCAACCCAATTAGCCGAGGTGTGAAGAATCGTCATGAGCTTGACTTGCTGATTGAGCGTGCGGCTGAGGAATCCCCGCCTGTTTTGCCGACCATTGAAGAGCTGAACGCTTGGAACCCCCTTGATCATGATGCTTATGTAAAATGGCTTATTGAAGAAAGAAAACAGCGTGGAGACAACTGGAACTTCAAGTACATCCAACCATTTACACATGGCCACAACATTGGTACACTTCAACTTGATCGCATTAATGGAGAAGAATATCTTGGAATGGGCTGGTGTAAAGTGCATCGATATGGCGAGAATGAGTGGATGGGCGACAAGTGGGAAAATCCGCAATGGATAGTCGAATTGTCGAAAAGATTCAATAGAGCGCTACGCCACTCCGTGGGTTGCGTCAAAGACAATCGAAATCACCGTGGACTACCATGCGACGAGGCAGGTTGGGTCAATGTTGAGTCGATCTTGAAGTACGATGCCATTTGGAGAGACCAACATACATTGGCTGGAACGACCTACGTCAATTATCCGATACTTGTTGAAAGGTGGAACAATTTCCAGAGAGTGATCTTCACTGAGTACAAGCAAACGAAGAGAATCCGAGCACAAGTGCTAGGACTCAAGGTCACGAAAGGTGAGTTGGAACACATTATGAACAACTTCAATGATGGATTGACCTCTAGACTTGATCGACAAACACTGAGGTTGGAGATCGGCACAGCAGATCGAGAGATTTGGCTTTGGCCGGTGGCAATCCGTGCCCCTATGGCGCATTCAAGAGTTCAAGGCGGTGTGCACATTGAAGACAAGAAGACTTCATATCAGATGAACCCTGGAGTAGGATACACTCTTGGAGGAGGATTTCATTGCACCACATTTGACAACATCGCTCAAATCTTCAGAGAAGGACTACGTCCAGGAGGAGGAGGCGACCGCATCAATACGTTCTTCGTGCCATTCGCACCATGGGACGTGAGAAGTCAGATGGTGCTGAGATTCAGGAAGATTGAACAGACTGATCTTGTCTACATCTACATCACGTACGATTCCATCGCCAAGTTCTCCCCTCGATTATCAGCAGACGGACACATTTTGGTCCAAGAAACAATTCCATTCGAATCATTCGATGCAGTTTGGTATTACGACTGGAGAGAAAAGGACTACTACCGTCTCATGATCACGAAGGGAAGAGATCAACTTGTTCTTTCTGTGCAAGGTGCAAAGAGGGTGGCCACCATTGAACGATTTGACAAGCTCATTGGAAACATTGTGCCTGAAGAATCATCACCCGATCTAGACGAACTTCGAAAACTTGTCGATATCAGGACCGGTCACTTCAGTCATACTCACAGATTGTTCCCTGGACATCCGGATTGGAATGATGCAATTTCATTATTGGCAGTCACTCATCACCCTAGCAAAGAGGACCATCGACTATGCCCCGCATGTCTGATGGAGACCCCTGCGCCATTATCGATTTGTGTGATGTGCAAAGGATTTTTGGTGAGTCATGGATGGAGGAAACGAATCAAGATCACCGTGGCTACAGTACCAAGTGCCGAATCACATCATCGAGAAGAAGATCTCAAAGACCATGTCAAGAAAGCATGGGAGGAGGTGAAGATCGATTTGACAGGTGATGATGATGACGACGAGGTGATGCCAGATGATGATGATGTCACCATGAAGAGTCCAGAACAAGAAACTCAACCAGAAGAAGGAGATGATGATCAAGCCTCGAAGAAGGGCGACATCAATGATGAGAAAAGAGACTTCAGAGAACAAGATGAGGTCGACAAATTTCTCAATCAAGAAGGAAAACCGACCGATGAGAACGATGATGAAGAGATAGCGGTCGATGAAATCAACATTGAAGAGTACGAGGCTGGAGAAGCTCGTGATGCAGTGATTGAGTACCCCAAGTGGATGCAGCGGATTGAGTTTGGATCAAAGGTCCTGCCGATCGAACCTTGCACAATTGGAGATGCTCAGCCAGAATTCATCAAGATCCTCCTGTTGCAGATTGGATTACATATCGTCAGGATCTACAGACTATTCCAACGGAACTTCTGTGGAGACATCGAGACGGCATGGAAACATTTTCAACAGAACCAGAAATTCAGGATGGACCTGGACTCAAGAACACCTTACCTGGGCGAGGATGAAAATGGTGAACTCATTGAACCAACTGCACAACAGATGAAAGAGCTCTACAAAGAGATCGGCCGACCAAATCAAAAGGACGACATCGGAGAAGAGGGATTCGTCAATGCATACTATGGGGCAGTGGTACTCAAAAGACTTCTCATATATACCCTTGAATGTGGCTACACGTATGATGACTTGCAAAACATATTCTTTGATGAGGAGATGGAGAAGCTGTCGAAACGTGACACCACAATGGATGAGATGAGAAAGACCACAGCGGCCCGCGACGCCCTTGACCGACAAGACGTCATGGTCAGAAGAATCATTGCAGGTGCATATAGGGTAAATGCTGTTTATTTCTTCAGGAACGTTGACTTTCAAGACACAATCACACTGAATCCAGTTGACATTGTGTGTGCTCTTCGTCCACCACTTCGAAGAATATCACTTTTACACCTGATCCTTCAGAATGGCCGACAATTGCCGCGACCTCTACTCCAAAAGCTATATGATGCGATCGATGACTACAATCACATCAAGCAACGGGAAGATCAACGACCAAGGTGGGGCATCCACTTGTCTGAAGCTCACATACTTGCGATTGCTGATACCCCGACTCCTGCTGATCGTGAACGTGCCAATCCAGCCGCTGGCAAATCGAAAGCAGCCCCGAAAGCTGCACCAGCACTGGGAAGAGTGTCGAAAGCGAAAGCATCATCGTCAGCGACATGGAGAACAGTTGAAACCGCTCCTCCGCCAAAACAAGCTCCAGTGACCCCGCCAAAGAAGGGTGGAAAAGACCAAGGAAAAGGTGGAAAATCTTATTCACACCGTGGCGGAGACTGGAACCAACAGGGATACTATGGATGGGGATATAGATGATTAAGCGATCTGACCTCTGCATAGGTCCTGATTGAACCTGGCGATGCGAGGATGCAATCATTGCTCGAGATTTACCTCTACTTCATTTTGAATGATTTCTGAGAGGACTCTGAGCCGGCTAATTTAGAACCACACATTTTTTTTTTGAACATCATTGCATGAAACGCTGAGTTTCTACAGCGGTCTACGTCTCAACCGACGAAGGGACGGGAAGGTAAACTTCTAGTTCCATAGTCAACTTTGTGTTTTGATTTCTTTAATTCACATGCTTGAGTGAGACTCCATGCTGGCTACGCCACATTGGATGAACCTCAATGCTAGACACCGACTACGTCGTGTCTACATGCACGTGAACAGAACCTTCATTTTTTTGGTAGAGATCGTAGCAAGCCGCCATGTAGATATGAAGTTCTGAACGGACTTTAGCTCTCCATAATTCAATAAATGAACAGCTGCGAGTGTAGTGGATCAATTCAAAGAACACTCCTTTGCGCGTAGCCAACAAAGTTGGCTATGCGTGGGGGGTGCGAATAGAGTGTAGGCTACGGATCAAGTATAATATCACAACTAAACACTCTGTGATCCAGCACCAAAGGTGGCAATCCGAACTGGCCTCTTTGGCTCAAGACCCACTGCAGCACTGGAGAAAAGATCAGCAATGCGGAAGCAGCTGCCCGTGTGACGTCGTCGAACTGGAACATTTATTCTCAACATCAACCATTGGAACATAATCGGGTAGGCAATCCCCGATTCGCATATATATATATATATATATATTTGTATATACAGAGGGGGATACAATGTTCTAAAGACATTGTTTGACGGCGTGACTGATGTTTAGCCCATTTGCTGTTGAATGTTGATATCGATGATTTTCAGGGTAATCTAACCCTGCAATGCAAGTTTCGTTTTAGGAATCCAAATTATATACAGATTAGTTTTAGAGTGGTGGGGGTGTTCAAGCTGATTGGTGAAGGAGTTACAAAAACAAATGTGTAATGTGGGAAACCCAAACATAGACTTACACTTTGTTTTTTTTTAATAGCACCCCTTTGTGTTTTTTTCTGATTAGGTTTACCACAATACTTGCAATTGTTTTGTATTTACCTGTTTCGATGGAATGCGTGATAATTACCCAGAATTTTGATCTATCTTAGCAAAGCGATGTCAACGCAATAGGGAAACTATTCTCGTCGCTGTGTTTGAGAATGTGCTTGTATTGCACATGGTCAGGTGCTGTTTAATATGTTCGAATGGATGGGACATATACGTGCTCATTGTACATCTAGTTTGTATCTGCAAAATTATGTCTTGTATTTCTTCACCCATGATGGGTCTACCAGGCTTGTAGACCACTTCAAGAGTCTGCTAAAATCAGTCACCATTTGGGGATCGCCTCCCTGAAAATCAGAACTCTTCGCTGTGTGCCACGGTGAGAAAAGAACAGTTAGTTTTTTCTTCAAGAAGTGGACGTTTCATGAAGTTTCTGGATGAGAGTAGGGTTCTAGGAAGACTTTTGACATGGAATCCGGACCATGAGGCTTGTGAAAAGGACGCATTTCTGATTGGACATGGTTTGGTCTTGGGCTAGATGTTCTTTTGCTGGGTATGTAGCATTGGTAAGCGTGGCTATCGGCACCAACATGACTCTGTATGATGTTGGCCAATGGTCAGGAAAAGTCACTGATCGAAGAACAATGCAACCACTGGTGGGCCAATGAATGCCCGCTCTTTGTGGTTGAGAGCCTCTGCTGAAGGGAAAGGTTTGCTGGTTGGTGATTGGACGTCCGTTTTGTTTCGCCATCAATAGAGAAGATAGTACTTGAATGTACTTTAATAGCAAATCTAAAGCCGTCCCACTAAGAAACTCACTTCTTTAAGGAAATAATCCCAGAGGGAGTATCTCAGGGGGTAAAGCGGCAGGTTCAAGATCGTGCCGTCCGAGCCTGGTCCAAATCTTGAGTGTTTGAGCCTGTTTGAATCCAGAAACAGATCGTCAGAGTTGCATGTGCTGCTTTGGCTACGTTTATGCATCTGTACTGTATGCCACCAGAATAGTTTTTGGGGTTTGACAGGTGAACACACTGAAACATTTGAGAATCATCTGATGGAATTCAAGGTTCAGGTGACAATTTCACAATTTCTGGGTTCAAAGTCAGCAATACTCCAGCCAGAAAAGCAATGAAATCTCAACGTGTTTTCTTCAGCAAGGTGTTTCTGTCATGTTTTCGCTGCTGTGTTTCTTGCAAATTGTTACAGTCGAGAAACAACGCTACATATATATATAAACATATACATATACAGTATATATAATATATATTTATGTATATATATAAAATATAATCGTTCATTATACTATATACATGTTCTATATACATACTCTATATACAGACACACATCCCTATCTATGCACATGCAACCCAAGGAAGTGCTGTTCCTCCATCCCCGTGGCCAAAGATACTGAGCCTTGGATTCAGCTGATCATTTTCCCATATAGAATGCCTATAAAATAGGCGTATTGTAAGGGAATATACCACAAAATATGGTCTTACCCTCTGGTAAACTAACAGTTTGCTATGGAAAATGGCCATAGAAATAGTTGATTTACCCACGAAAAATTGTGATTTTGCATAGTTCGTTTGAAGGGATCATGTTCTGAACGGAAAATCACAATCCGTAAGTTCGGTAGATTTTTTATATTTCTATGGAAAAATACATGCAATGTCGCTTAAACAAAGTGTAAGAAATTACCAGAGGATAGCTGGGAGTTACCTCATTCTGAGGCTCCCACGAGTCGTATGGGCAAAAATCCGGTGCGATGGAGAGTGGGAAATCTTTCCGGGAAAATCGATGGGAAAATGGATGGACAGTGGGACATCTTCCAGCTTCCATGTTTCAACAAGATCACAAGGGTTGCCATAGATGATCATGGAAGAGATGACCAGATTAGAAATGAAGATAGCAGAAACGGTCACAAATTTCCACGGTGCTGGGGTGAAAACACCACTTTCAACTTTCAACACATGAGAATCTGAGAATGAAATATCTAGAAGTGAAGAATGAAAACTAAGAACTAAAGACAACAATTGACCATACAACTCCCCTGTCTACCCAACATGTTGCTTGAATGTTAAACGCATATATAGCAGATACAAGTGGTTGTCATCCCGACCCAATCACAAGCACCCCAACATGAACAGATCGCTTTTCTCCAGCGAATGGGACCAAACCCATTCTCAACCAGCAGTATTTCAATGGCAGAGGCTTAGTTGGTTATTATACCCCCAATGAAATACTGTTGGGAATATCATGGGGGTACAATAACCAACTAACATGATGGGAAATGGTGGTATAATACCCCCATGATGTTTCCTATCATATAATGGTGGTGGTATAATGGTTGGTTGACCTATCATCATGAAACCACCACCAGCATTACACCCTCTGGTCAACCAACATAGCTATGGAACATCGCCATGTTCAAAAAGACAAATCAACTATCAATGGCCATTTTCAGTAACTGCAACATACGACCAGGGGGTCTTCCTTCCCATGATATTCCCAGAGATCTTCCAATGATTTTCCAACGGAATACCATTAAACAAGATATTTCCCATGTTTTTCAAATGATATTCACACCATATTCCCAGAGACTTACCATGAAATCACCATGATACCACCATTAAAACTCTGGCTTCAACGACCCCCACAGGACAGCCCCGAGCTCTTCGACGGCACGCTGCGGGTGGCTTTTGCCTTGCATCGGAGCAAGGCGGCCAGTGACTTTTCGCGAAGGGCGGTGACGGGTGGTTCGACAAAACATGGTGATTTCATCCATCAAAATGGTGATCTTCTTTTGTTCATCATCTAAAACATGTTGATTTCATCATCATCTTGGTTTCACAAGTGTTGTTTTAGCATGTTTTAGCCAGCAAAAAAAAAAACAACAACAACAAAACGTGGGATGAACCAAGAAAACTCAGGATTGAAATGAAGCTGCAAGCATGTGGCGATGAACAACCACAAGACATCGGGAGTCAAATGACAGACATGGTGATGAAACAGAAATTTAAGAAAGAAAAATAGGATCTGACCAAAAACGGAGCCAACCATCAAAAGAAATGTGTTTTTTCCAGAAAAGCAAATAAACATGATGATTTATGATGATTCAATTTTTGCCATAGTTGAATAGGTTGTTATAACTATTTGTATATATATATAGGTGTATGTTGTTTCCAAAACTTGGAATATACAGCAAGCAGATGTAACCAGCTAAAATATATCCATGAGTATCGAATTAATTAGCCATGAAATGCGGAAAAAAACACCATACCTCTATGGCCATTTGCCTGGGGAAGGCGATGATAAAAAACATGGTGTTTAGAGAATACCTCATGTTCGGACAAACCGAAATCGGGACTTTTTCACCAACAAACAGCGGAAACAAAAACGCAATGGCACGAAAACCGGCTGGTGGTGAACGCTCCAGATATAGATATGCCATTTGTATCCATTTATATAATCCATTTGTCATGGCATATTACGGCCAATACCACAGACATATCCCATTGACAAGGGCTCACAGGCACTCAGGCATTCCCAAGCATATCTGAATAATGCAGTCCATATTGCAAGTAGTTTAAACGATTAATCCAAATAGAACCCCCAAAAAAACTAGCCAGCCACTTGCTCGGTAAACCCATTTGGCATAAATCGCCTCAGCAATTCTGCTGAGGCAAATACCAAGAAGAGTATCAGGTGAAACCCTTCGAGATCGAATCTTGGGACAAGGACCTAAGGAGCCGCATAGGAAAAAATCTACTTCTACAATGTGAGGCCCCCGTTGGATAGCTCAGTTGGTGAACATAACTCCAATAACCATGGTTTATGGTACGCAAATAACTATAGTTACTGGGGCGAATCTAAACCAACTTATATATAACTGGGGGGCCTCACATTGTATAATATATAGAATTATCTAGTCCAGTTGATGGTTCACCTGATAAGAAATGAAAGATAGATCCAATTGATGTTGTTTTTGAGTTTCAACCTCTTGGCAAACTGCCAGCAGCGCAGAGCTGTGAGATGTTCGGGGTGCTTCTAAGTCGGTATGGGTCAAAATTTATGAACATTTCAGGACTAATAAAGTAGCAACTCCCAAAAAAAAGATAGTACAATCCTGCCAAAATAATGATATATTATGATATATTATGATATATTATGATATTATGATGATATATTATGATATATTATGATATATTATGATATATTATGATATTATGATGATATATGACAGCATCCTGGTCTATCTGTTTGGGGGTTGCTACCATTATCATCTCATGTTGGCGGCCAAATCTCGATCGAACAGCGTTGTGTCAGTTTTTTTGGCGTGCAGACTTAAAGGAACTAAAAAAGGCTACCCTGATATGTTTTCGATGTAAAGAAAACATGGTTGTTGGTGTTCAGCCAGATTTTTTCTGAGTATTTAAGGCATTTTAAGCCATATTTAAGTGATTTTCTGCGCACACACGCAATCCTAATATCCATTCTTTCCGATGCGCCATTGGCCATGTCTGTCTCAACGCCAGTGGCGTGCAGAAAACAACCTAAGGATTGGTTAGGGGGGTACTGGAAGCTACCCAAGACGCCTCTGCCAACGAATGGGGACAAAGAGAACCTGCAGAATATCCATGATCGCATCGTGACATGGTCGAAGCTCTGGACCTCAAGTTGAAAGTGATCCCAAAAATGGCAGATGTTCATGCTACCAATACACAAAGAAATGTTTTTGTTGGGGTGAAAGTTCCCATATTGCAAAGCAGCACATCTTTGTTCTACTTTGGTTTCACTATCCCTCGCTGGTGCTTAGGTTGCTACATATCTCCCCTAATCATCCTCCGTTACTATGGATCGCACTAACAGTGTTGGACATCTGACGACTTGTATCCCCATTGGCGATGTTCCTATCCCTCCAGGCTTCCACAGGTTTGAATTCCAAAGGTTTGGCACGGCCAAAATCTGTAACTTTCTGTTGGTGCAAGTTAGTCTCCCTGATGCAAAGCAGACAGCCAAAGACGTGGTTCCTCCAACGTGGTCACATGTTGGTGCTTTGTTCCGGGACATCAGTAGCTGAAATCCGACATGTTAGTACTGCTTGAATTTCAAGTGCTGAATCCTTAAATCAACGCTTTTGCTCCTGAAATCCCAAATTCTTCTTTATATCCCAACAAAAACTTTGCCTTTTCGGCTCAGATGGTCAGGAGTTCAGGCGAGTTAAAACCAGGTGTTTGGGCCAGAAGCCAGGCCGAAAACTACAACATGGTATATAGTATGTTAGAAACAAGAACATACAATGATACCCCCTGGTAAATTAACATAGACCCTGAAAATCACCAATGTTTAATGGAAACTAGTCTTCCAACCCCGATGACTGCCAGGGTCTATGTTAATATACCAGAGGGTAACTGATACACCATATTTCCTAGTAGCATCAAACTGTCACAATTGTGGTTTTCCCCAAGTACTGGTTAGTAGAATCCCCGAATTCATCAAGCACCATTTATCAGTTTTTATATGCCCATATCGTTCGGGGATTGATCAACAAGAGGCTCCCCAATACTGCCAATACGCCAATCGGTCAATCATCAATGTTGCTTTATCCATCATCAATCATCATCAATCATCATTTATCAATACTTATATTCCCATTGTAGTGGTGTTCCCCATAGTATTACAGATATTATTGCGGATTCCCTCTTATTCCCTCAGAATATTGCAACTCCTCATATGTCCTTAGGATCTTGTATTCCCTTTTAGATGTATTATTGTTGTATTCCTTGTATTCCCCCATACACATAACATCATATGATTGATGATGTGTTCCCCATGTTTTTTTCCCATTGATATTCCTATTATTGTTATATTCCCTTAGTTTTGCTGATTAAAGATATATATTATTGTTGTATTCCCCTTGTGTTCCCCTATTATTGTTGTATTTCCCTATTATTGCTGATTAAAGATATATTATGATATATTATTGCTGATTGATGATCATATAATAACCTTTTTTTTAACATCATATAATAACCATAGTTTTATAATAGCGAATGGAAATGATCACATTTGTTTTATGATATGTTCCCCTTCCCGTAGTGCCTTATCATCCTATGGCGAATTCGCCGGTCTCGCCGAGGTGAGCTCCTTCAACTCGGTGGACAAGCGCACGGCGCCCGTGCCGGATGAACAACTGCAGGAGGCCTCCGTGAGGGTCGTGAAGCCATGGGGTCCCTGGGTACCGAATTATAATTAATCATGTATGTATGCCTATACTTTAATAGATTGTACATATATATAATATATATATATATACATCATATATATATAATTGCACATATATATATATATATACATCATATATCTCCATGTTCTAAATGTTATGTTTACATAGTACGTAATACGTGTATCTGTAGAAGGTAGAAATATATGATTTTACATAGTATATATATAATTATATATATATATATTGAGTAGACTCAATTTGTGTTAAACTATTTGAGGATGCCATGCATGTATGTTAATGATTGTAGAGAGTATGTCTACCCGCAGTCTGTGTATATTCATATGTATACGATGGTAAACAGATATCAGAGGGGATACTTGGACCAAACCTGTCCCACATCTTGGATCCAAACTGCCGCGTCATGTGACAGTCCCGTGGGTAGCAGAACTCCCCAGATAGTCTGGGTTTGGTCAGAATTGCAAATTTGTTTTTCTCGAACTCTCATCTCCCAGCATGTCAGCATTGGTGTGAAGCAACATTTGCAAGACTTCCCTCCTTGTTTCGAATGTACCAAATCCATGTTTTTTTGTCAATGTTCCATTCAACTGATCATTCTTTCTCGTCCCTTCACATTGAATTTACCCCCAACCCCCAGTTTTGGACAGTAGTAGCCAACATGCAAAAATCATCAAAGGAACCTCAGTTAAGTCCATAGACCAAAATCATCAAAGGAACCTCAGTTAAGTCCATAGACCCATAGAACCCCCTGCGCATGGAAGAAATCCAACCAGGTCTATGATGCGCTGACCCCGGCGCTGCCCCAAATCTTCAGCTCAGGGGCCATCAGCGTCCAGATTTTTGGCCTGTTGGACGATGGGGATGTGAAGCCAAGATCGGGAGAAACGATGAGAGATCCCGAGTTCATCAATTTAACAGTTTTCCCCATATATATATATATTTGTATATATATATATATATTAACAATAGCATTTTAAGAAAATACATGAAAATACCAATTCATTCAAAAATCTGATGCCCTCTGGTAAACTAACAGTTTGCGAACTTGAACATGGCCCCAGTCGAAATAGTGAGTTTTCCCATTAATAGCATGGTGATTGTCCATAGTTTTTGGTTAATGTTTACCAGGCCGGGTATCTGGATGTCCTTCTTTAAACGAACATCCACTGAGGATGATCATGAACGTCTACCGGAAGGCGCGGTGGTTTCTAGCGGTGGTTTCTACCGGGCTTTGATCAATGGGAAGTTCACAATTCATATGGCCTGAAAAATGGTACGTTTACGTACCTCCATGTATTGGATCCTGAAATTCCATGAAGATCTCCCATTGATTTGATTCTTCAGAATCTCTTGGGTACTCCATGGTGCTGGCATATTTACCTACAAAACTGGGTGATTTTGTTCGGGCAAATGTTGGTATCCAGCACCATGGAGCATTTGGGATATGATTAAAGGTAATGGCAATGGATGAGTATGGACTTTAATGATTCCATCTGGGATGGTATGGGTTAAAGTTGGTCAAAGGTAATGGCCCCAAGATGGATGGTCTAGTAGCGACCAATCCTGTGGCTTGCGCATGGTCTGATTCGACCAATCATGGAGCCGGTAAGATGGTTTCGGACAAGTCAATTTCCCTGGTCAGGAGTTGTAGTGTTTGCCATATCCACAGAGCTTATCTCATAGACTTGATGAAAAACCTTGGTCATATTCATGTATAGGAAACATACTGTAGTAGTCTAATTTCCAAGGAACAAAACCAAGAATGTTCCGCAAGGAAGAACTTAAAACCAATCCCAGGAAAACTAGGTTTGTCTGAAAAATTAGGGGAAAATCCCAAACACCCATGGCTTATCATGACATTTTTTGTGTGAAAATCGTATTCTAGTTACTTGCGCTCCATCAAGTAGCACAACTGCTGGTTGGTGTCAAACATGTTGCCAGCAAACAGGGGTGCTATCCCCCTAACATATACAGTATACATATGATATGTATATATATATATGTGTGTGTGTGTTATGTTACAGGATATATAGTTATATAATACAGAAGTTGTTTATCTGCTTGAGTCTTGCATTGTTTTATTTTTGCATTTACATCCACCTACAGTATATTTCCGGAAAGAAAAACTACTACCATTTTTTATTTCCGGTTCCATGTATTCTCTCGTAGATGATATCAGATATCCATCCAGATATTATCATGTGTTTTTTTCCAGTTTTTTTCCGTCACAAAAGGACAAATATCTCAATATCATAGAACATCATATAAGATCATTTCATATCATCTAGTATTTGTTTGTATATATGTTCATCATTTAATATGATACATATACATATGTCATATACGTTATAAGTTATAATATATATATATATATGATATATCATATAATATATATATATGATATATCTTATATATATATAGCATATTAATTATCATTTCATATCATTTCATATCATTTCATATCATTTCATATCATTTCATATCATTTCATATCATTTCATATCATTTCATATCATTTCATATATATATATATATGTGTGATGTATATAGATATATACCTTGATATACCATATATGTTTCATCTCGCTTTTACAATCAGGAGAACCTCTTCTGCGCCTTCGCCTTGGCCCGTGTGGCGGCCGCCATGCGCGTGGATCACCTGGAGCGTGCGCTGGGGCTCTTCGACCTGGCGCGACGGAAGGTACAGGAGATGGTCCCGACATGGTGGGGGACAGAGGTGGAAAGGATAGGGAAAGGATAGGGAAAGGATGGGGAAATGGAGGTTTCCTAAGTCATGGTACCCCCCCCCAAAAAAAAAAATATATTCCCAAAAAGCAAAGATTTCGATACTAAGTTGTGGTAAATGATAAGGGAATGATAGATATCAGGATAATCATGGGGATATAATTAATGGGGATATGATAATCTAGATTGATGACATGGTTTCGATATATCCCCATCAGAGGTGAGATGTGCCAAAGCACAGGAATTTGATTAACCAACAGTGTGTTGGATGTTGGTTGCAACTTAAGCGTCAAAAAAGAGGCTTGACTCACGAATAGAACATATGTTTTTACGGTGATATAGTGAAGTTAATAACGGGAACATGTAACCAACAGGCGTTGGTATGGATATGGGTCAAATTTCAGACCCGGGCGGTGGATTGGCATGTCTATTTTTCGTATTGACCATCCAGTTTCAGTAAATTTAGGGGTACCAAATTTTGACCCATAGCAATGTGTGAGACTTTCGGTCCAGCCAAGGCAACTACTGACATATGTCTGACCAGTATGAATACGTGTTCATGCTCTCTGGGAATTATATCATGAAATTCAGATACTATTTATATAGATATGCAACAATGCACGATATGAGTACACACACATATATATATATAATATAAATAATATATTACAGTTTATGTATACATGTATGTGCAGATACTACATATATTATCAATGTAGCATCATCATACTTTCATACTTTGTTCAACATTTTCTCATCAGCCAGTGACAGGATAAACGCCGACCTGTTGCACATAGAACATCTTGCCAACAAAGTCGGATGCATCTCCAAGATTAAGATGGGAAAGCACTAATCAATTAACCAGTGGATTTCTGACTGCCCCATTTTCCAAGCCCATGACCACAAAGAACAACATAGCTTGTTGAATTTAGAAGCACTCATTTTGATTGTCACCATTTGCAACACAGTTGAGGATTTGACGAATGGGAATTCAAACGAGACATCGGCAAAATTGGGAAGATCAACCAATAACTGGTTGGTGGTTTGGAACATGGCTTTTATTTTTCCATATATTGGGAATAATAATCCCAACTGACTAATATTTTTCAGAGGGGTTGAAACCACCAACCAGACAACATAGGGTATGTTTACAGACAAACGCAGGAATGTGTTGGGCCCCAAAACCGGCTGAAATAATGTTAAACCCGGTACCTGAAACATATGTTTCCCCCCATGTTTGTGGTTTCTTAAAATTGGTGTATCCCAAAACCATGTGCTGAATCAGATCATCAATACTATATAGCATATATACCCTCTAGTAAATTAACAGTTTGCTATTGAAAATGACCATATAAATAGTGGATTCACCCATTAAAAATGGTAATTTTCCATAGTTATGTGACAGTTATTAGAGGGTAATGTTTATGATTCTGGGGTACCCAATTTTAGGCACATTCTATTTCTTAAGATCTTCGACGGCCATATCCTGCAGAAGTTCCCCACTTATGGTTAGTTACGTAGGTCAAATCAATCGTTTTCGAGGCAAATTCATCATTGATCACCCGTTTTCAGACAAACACATATTATGCCCACTGGATCCAAGTACCTTCTTAGGAAGTGTTTGGGGTATAATTTGGAGGGTTAAGTACCTTCTCAGACAGTGCTTGGATCCATAGGGATGAATATTATTATGTAATTGTCTCCTACTAAAACCAACACAGTTACCATAATCTGTCGGAGAAGTTTCCGAAATCGATCATTGCCCCCTGAGGAGCCCGTTGCGAAGAGCTCGGTCGCGCAGTTTCTGCCGGAACGCTCCGTGCTGTCCTACGTGGACCGCAACGTAGGGGTTTGCTCCGCGCTGTTGCAGACACTCGGTGAAGCGCCAAATGGACGCCTGGGCGTGGGCCACAACACGCACTTGATGGCCATTTTCAAGAGGAATGCTTATTAGATCCGCCATGAAATTAGGAGGATATACATCTGGGGTGTATATATATATATGATATGATATGTGATATAATCTTCAGATCTCCAAGGTACCTTATTTTTCAGACAAACCCAAATGTTTGGTTTTCACGCGGTATCTTTATAGATACAATCCAAAGTCTTGAGGGAATGGGATTAAATGACACTGCAATATACAACGGGATAATAACAACCAGAATTTAGATATAAGGTTATCTAAAGAGAAGCGCTGTAGTACCTTTGGGGGATGTGATAGCACACCATATTATATGTTAACGTTTATTTTTGAACATGTGATATTCAATTTGCGGCAATTTTAAAAAGGAAATGTTATTTTCAGAGATGCAACGAGTTGTTTCTAATTGTGTAATATATATATATATATTGTATGTTTCCCAAATAACATGTCAATGTGATATACTCACACATGTTCAACATGTTTGATTACTTGTTGTTCCATGTACATTATATACATAGGTCTCAAGTATCGGCTTTGCAAAGTATGATTTGCGGGACAATCATAAAGGTTGACAACAAAGAAAAGATACTAAAGCTTGGATGACCATCCCCCACGCACGCATAGTTACTGTAGATGCTGGTCGTCAAGTGAGAAATGCCTTGTACCGGTCTTAGTTAATCGTTTTTGTTTCATGTTGCCGCGATGAAGAAGAGTCTACCTCCTGCAAAGATTAGAGATTAAGACGCCATCAAAACAGGCGGGATGAGTTTGTTAGTCCAACTTTTGGCTCACTCAACTTCAGAAGTTAGTATAGTTTGATCTACTGACTGAGTGACTCTCATATAATGAGTTTGTTTCTTTTGTTGTTTGAGGAGACCCAGACATTCCATCCACTAGGAATCCAGCCGAAAAAACCTCGAGTCCTTGAGGAAATGGGAGGATGCGGCAAGACATTGGCGGAGTTCCCTCCATATTTTTCCAGCCAACGCCACCTCGCACTACTTGCAGGGCAAATACTTTCAGGCGGGGAGGGGTGAAATCTTGATGAAGGGTAGTTTAGTTTTGACTTCTGGTGTGTGTTTCTGTTTTAATTCAATAGATGATGGTATATGATGGTTTTTTTGTTTCCCAGCTATAGAAGGTGTCCAAGATTCCCCCAAGTTTCTGGGCCACCTCAGTCCTCAGTTGATATTCAGAAATCAGGCTGGAAAGTAGAGCTGCAAACATATATATATATATATTTATAATATACTGTATACTGTAAACGTATGTATAATTATACAACTGTATATATATATATACACTTACCATACTGATGATCCAGATGATAGGGGGATGTTTCTGGATGCATGTTGACTTTCTGAACCTAGGGTACATTTGCTTTGAAGATTTGCTAGATGCTGGCCAATTGCTTGTAGTTGCCGTTGTACTTGTCGTTGGAATAGTGGGTTGTTCTCGTTATATCATTGTCATACATTTTAATCATAAACTATGGGCCTAAATTCTGGGTCAAAAGCATCTCACTCCCCCAAACAACTGATTGTTTAATCCACCCTTAATCTTATCCACCCGCAGTTTGCGTCTTGCTTTCAGAGAATTAATGTCAACCCTGGATAAATAAACCATTGCCTATTAGGGTGGTACTCCTCCAAAAGTCATTATTTGATACTTTTTAATGGTACCCTCCCAATTAAACAGCCGTTTGGGGTTGACATTAATCCAGGCTTGACATTAAATCCAGGGTCCCACACCTCCAGTCCAAGGAGATTGGCAAATACAACGAGGCCGTGGAGTAGCCCGGACACGACAAACCCGACTCTCCGGGGCAGCCATGAAGTGGATTGGTAGATGGAAGAAACATGAAAAGCCAACAGGAAACATGGTGAATTTTACCAGCAGAAGTTGGATTTCACCTGAAAAAAATCAGGTTTTTTCCACATTGGGTAATTGTGAATATGCTGTAATACTGGTTATCTGGTTATCCTTTGGTGCGGTGGTGCCTCCTAAGCAGCTTAGTTGAAAAATAACGTTGATGTGGTAGGTTGATGGCGCGACCTGCCACCAAAGCTTGCCATTTGGCAACTTGTCATGGGGATGCATCAAAGATCATCAAAGGTTTATTTTCGGTGAGGGAAACACCATTTGAAAACCGTTGATAAAACCGAACAACAACTACTGCTGTATTTGGTTGAATAGGAGGCCCACTTATTTTTGGTTGTTCTTTTCTTATTCACCTGGCATGAGCCATCTCATTTTCTTCACTCATGTTGGAACCGGAAGCCTCAACTTAATCCCAAGCAAATCCAAGTAGGCTCCCCATGTCTTGATGCAATGAAACAAGGCAACGAGAAATCCCCCCTATAAATGGAGGTTTCAATGGTTTCGCATCATCTATAAATAGGAAAATTTCTAGCAAACTATGTTTGATTACCCTCTGGTAAACGACAATAACTATGGAACATCACCATTTTTAATGGGAAAATCCACTATAAATGGCCATGTTCAATAGCTATGTTAGTCATTACCAGGCCGGGTACCTGAGGCGAAACCTCCAAGTTCTCCATGCGAATCTAAGGTGTCACATGCGAGCCATAGCCCTGGACCCTGATTTCAAGCTGCAGCTTGGACAGCAGGCAGCCTGGACCCTGATTTTCGAAGATCATTACCCTTTGGTAATTTAACATAGCTATGGAAAATGGCAATTTATAGTTGATTTACCTAAAATAAATGGTGTTTTTCCATAGCTGTTAAATTGCCGGAGGGTAGATGTTCCATGCAAACCGGCGAAGCCGGTATCATGAATGATCTTTAATAGTTGTGCTTAGTAGGGAATTTTCGGCAACGATCCTAGCTATCAATAATAATATAATGATCCCATTCCCCCTATTCCCACCAGTAAGTCTTTAATAGTTCTTCTAGTATTGGGATGGGTGGACCAACCGCTAACCAGCCCTTGTTGAGTGTGGAGGCCATGAAAACCCTTCTTGTTCTGGTATAAAGGGCCAGTGATGGGGGCCAAATCAGCGAAATTCTATGGTGTGAAATGATGGAAAAAAGGGTCCGAAGCAGACAACTGCACTGTAAAAGCTGAATTCCCAGGTTCATAGGTTTATCATGGTTTATCATTGCAATTCCAACCGATTGAACCAAAGTATGAGGTGCTGTCCACCTACTTCAAGTGGACGTATGATGTTATTTTCATTCCCACCCAGATGATAGATATGGGATGATATGGGTTTGTCAGAACATCAGGTCCCTCAGGTACCACAAAATTCATCAGCCTATCATCATTTTACCCCTTAACATTGCCAAAAACTGGGGGTATTCCCATGGGTAGACCGGCCTTTTTTTAGGCCTTATCAGGGCCTGGGCAACTGCCACTTGCTCAGAGGGGACTTGGAGGCGGGGATTCCTGTGATTTTATATGATTTTTATATGTTATTGCCCTCTGGTAAACATACAAAAAGCTATTGAAAATGACCATTTATAGTGGATTTCCCATTGAAAATTGTGATTTTCCATTGTCATGTTAGTTTACCAGAGGGTATATGTTATTATGTTAATACCTAATGACCAAAGATATGTGTATCTTTTTGACCCCAATGAGCAATCTGTAAACTGACCCGGTCAGACCGCGACGGCGACTGGTAGGAGGCGATGCAGGCGTGTTTGGCCTGCTTCCGTCGTCACCCAGATGCGCCCTTTGCGCAGTTCATTGCCGGGCAATGCCACGCGGCACCAGATCGGAGAGGTGGGGGTTGGATCATTCAATATTATAAATATATATGATAAGGTGTGTATATATAATATAATATTATATATATATATATTATTCTATAATATATATATAATAAGATGTATATATATATATAATATTATATTATTATATATAGTATTATATTATATAGATTATATTATATATTTAATATATTTAATATATTTAGTATATTTAGTATATTTAATATATTTAATATATTTAATATACTTACTATATTTATTATATTATATTATATTGTATTGTATTGTATTATATTATATATTATATATATTATATTATATTGTATCATATATATGACATTGTATTATATTGTATTATATTATATTTTATTATATTATATTATATTATATTATATATTATATATATATATGTGTCTAATATTAGGCACCAGAACTCACAGGTATTGGAATTACTTGTGGGCCCCAACATTGTAATTATGCTTCCATAAATGTTGGTTGTTTCCGATGCAAATCAGGCTTGGATTATGCTATAGATTGCCAGGAAGATATAGGGCACCTCATTGGCAGTTGTAAATGAGTAGTTCATCTTGAATGCCTGGCAAGGTTTGACATACCCCAACTGACAAATGGATGACTGAGCTGCTTAAGACCTCCAATTGAGCAGCGTTGTTTTTGAGAGTACCATCCGCCGCATAGGCTATCGTCCAGTCAGCACAGTCTCGCGTAGGCTTTGCGTAGGCACCTTTGCGTAAACTAAGTTCGCGTAGCCGCCGCGTAGGCGCTGCGTAGGCAATTTTGAGGATAATGCATTTAAAGTAAACAAATTCTGCTCAATTGTGGCGGTTTTGTGCTAATTACTTAAATTTTCCATGTTTCAAGATGTTCAATCCTCTTGTTGTTCCCTCCAAAATAGCATGCTTTAGTTTGGTGAACTTCCCTTAACCCAAACCCAGTATGACCCCCACCGAGGTATTTACCGCACTTTTTTGGCGCCAACCAGTCGCTACCTCTCGCCAGAAGGGCGGAAGATCTTGGCCGAGAAAGGGGTGAGGCCAGCCGTGCCAACCCCTGGTGATACTGATGGCGACCCTGAAGAATAGTGACTTCACCAAAAAATGCCGGGAGATTCACTAATTAATTGTGGAAACTCAAACTGCAACATAAAATATGATGATATCATGTGATATCTATGTATCTATATATGGCTATTCAGTATGAAGAATGAGACGTTCGCCAGCAGAGAAAATGCGGATTCAACCTCCAGCACTGTGGAGAGAAGCCACAAGTGACGGTTGACAGTAGCTTGTTGAGTTGGGATAACTAATCCAAGAACTGGGAACCAGTTTCAGCCAGCTTCAACCAGTTTCAACCAGTTTCAACCAGTTTCAACCAGTTTCAACCAGTTTTCAACCAGTTTCAACCAGTTTCAACCAGTTTCAACCAGTTTCAACCAGTTTCAACCAGTTTCAACCAGTTTCAACCAGTTCAACCAGCTTCAACCAGCTTCAACCAGCTTCAACCAGCTTCAACCAGCTTCAACCAGCTTCAACCAGCTTCAACCAGCTTCAACCAGCTTCAACCAGCTTCAACCAGCTTCAACCAGCTTCAACCAGCTTCAACCAGCTTCAACCAGTTTCAACCAGTTTCAACCAGTTTCAACCAGCTTCAACCAGCTTCAACCAGCTTCAACCAGCTTCAACCAGCTTCAACCAGCTTCAACCAGCTTCAACCAGCTTCAACCAGCTTCAACCAGCTTCAACCAGCAACCAGTTTCAACCAGCTTCAACCAGCTTCAACCAGCTTCAACCAGCTTCAACCAGCTTCAACCAGCTTCAACCAGCTTCAACCAGCTTCAACCAGCTTCAACCAGCTTCAAGCAGTTTCAACCAGTTTCAACCAGTTTCAACCAGCTTCAACCAGCTTCAACCAGCTTCAACCAGCTTCAACCAGCTTCAACCAGCTTCAACCAGCTTCAACCAGTTTCAACCAGTTTCAACCAGTTTCAACCAGCTTCAACCAGCTTCAACCAGTTTCAACCAGTTTCAACCAGCTTCAACCAGTTTCAACCAGTTTGAACCAGTTTCAACCAGTTTCAACCAGTTTCAACCAGTTTCAACCAGTTTCAACCACCAAGAACTGGTTTGGGGATTGCAGAGCTGCACTGGACAAGCTGGGTTTTGGTGCCTGGGTTGCTACGCCGCTGGTCTCATGTTATTGTCCATTCCCGGAAAAGTTGGGAAAATGATTTGTGTTTGTGTGACTGTGTTGATGATTCATGATTTGAATGAAATGTTCAGTTTGGGTATGGGTCAAAACTAAATATAGAATTGAATGGTGAATACTAAAGATGAATCAAAACCTGTGCTTCCCTAGGTTTTAAAATATGAACCATACCCATATCATTCCCATAACATATTGTTGGTGATATGTCCCTATTATACCACACATTCTAACCACCATAAAACCATTATTGCTTATGTTTATTTATGTTGGTTAGTTGGTTAAACACACATGTGTTTGATGGTTTAGCTGCAACCATTTAGATTTAGGTCTTAGGTCTATATCCCACAATCCAAACATGTTGGCTATATACTCCCATCATATCCACATCGGAGATATATAATAAACCATTGTGGTTATCATGGACAATATTGTTGAATTATAACCGTATTTATGTAGCAATAAGGTTGTAACCATTATAACCACTATAACCATGACTACTATTAATGTAACCACTATAGAACCATTATTACAACAATTATCAACCATTATTATTAAATCATAACGTTACATGATATCCATTGTATACATCCATATTTGGTAATCATTCATGTTATACAATAGAGATAACCAGATAACAATTACACAATATGACAATGTTATATCTCCATTGTTATACAATGTGTTCTTTAATTATTATATTAAATTATTATTAGTACTGTTATTACAGTTATTATTGTTATATTATAGCAATTGCAAAATAATGTGTAATTGTTCTATAGTCTTGTTATTACTATTATTATTGTTATATTATAACCATTGCAAAATAAATTTAGTTGTTATTATATAGTATGTTATTAAATACTTTGATTATTGTCATTAATTACATAAATTATATAGCTATTGTTGTTTCATAGAATTGGATGATGGGAACATTTTAACCGGAAACCACTATATTTCATGGTAAAAAAAAACCATGGTTTCCGGTTAAGATTTTCCCAACAAAACCAATCCATCGATTTACCTATAGGATCCATGTATGCTATATATGGTAACATGGATCCCATCAATATACCCCCAATATCCCCCTTTATGTTAGCATATATACCATACATGGATCCTATGGGATAGCTATTGTTGTTGTTTAATGACAATAATCAACATATGACTATTGTTGTTATATATGACTCTATTAACATAATGACACTATTATATAGTATTGTTATTACATATGACTATTGTTGTTTATACGAGATCTTGACCCACCGCGATGCTTCGCCAAAGGGCTTTGGACATGGCCCGACGGCGCTCGCCGGAGCAGTGGAACGAAACAGACCAGGCACGGCCACGATGCCGTGGACAGGAGTTGCCCTACGTTCGCTTGGATCCTAGGGTAAACTAATATGTTCATGGGATTTTTATGCGATTTTCCAGGGTTTCATGGGATTTTTATGGGATTTTCCAGGGTTTCATGGGATTTTCTGTATTTTTTTTTTTATGGGATTTTCAAGGTTTGGTTCATGGGGATTGATCCTTTTTTTATGGGATTTTCCAGGGTTTCATGGGATTTTTATGGAATTTTCCAGGGTTTCATGGGATTTTTTATGGAATTTTCAAGGGTTTAATTGTTTTTTTTTCAGATGTTTGAAGGATTTCATGAGAGTTACCCTGGGCTAAAGATACAACACAAATGTGGGAAAAACGTAGAACATGATTTACACATGGTGGAAGTGCCAAATTTGTTACAATGTGTTTGGATGATTACGAGGGGGTAGACATCAACAATTTGGTGATTTGAACAATGAATTTATAGTCGAAGGAAGTTTATAAGTCAAACTTAAGACAAAATTGACAAAATGGACAGATGAAAAGAAGAGGTGGGAAGAGTCAGAGAAGAGAAGAAAGGCAGAAGAAAGTAGATCAGAGAAGAGAAATAGTCAGAAGAAAGAAGATGCAGGTACACGAAAAGGTCGAAGAGTCGCGAGACACTGTGTTTTTTCCAATGTTTTGTGGCTCCGCCGGGTCGAAAAGTAGGCTCGCTAAAGCGGCGGGTGCGGAGCCATCTGAGGAGATGAGAGATGTTGAATAATTGCACGCTGTTGTGGCGCGAAGCACATGTCGAAGCCAAAAGGCACAATACACCTCAACACCGGAGCACTTTTGGAAGTTGAGATGTTGAATAATTGCACGCCGTTGTGGCGCGAAGCACATTTCGAAGTCAAAAGGCACAATACACCTCAACGCCGGAGCACTTTTGGAAGTTGAGATGTTGAATAATTGCACGCCGTTGTGGCGCGAAGCACATTTCGAAGTCAAAAGGCACAATACACCTCAACGCCGGAGCACTTTTGGAAGTTCAGATGTTGAATAATTGCACGCTGTTGTGGCGCGAAGCACATTTCGAAGTCAAAATGCACAATACACCTCAACGCCGGAGCACTTTTGGAAGTTGAGATGTTGAATAATTGCACGCCCTTGTGGCGCGAAGCACATTTCGAAGTCAAAATGCACAATACACCTCAACGCCGGAGCACTTTTGGAAGCTGAGGTGTTGAAAAAGTGCACGCCGTTGTGGCACGAAGCACATCTCGAAGTCAAAATGCACAATACTCCGTTGAGATGTTGAATAATTGCACGCCGTTGTGGTGCGAAGCACATTTCGAAGTCAAAATGCACAATGCACATCAACGCCGGAGCACTTTTAGAAGTTGAGTTGTTGAAAAAGTGCACGCCTTTGTGGCACGAAGCACATCTCGAAGTCAAAATGGAATAAACCACCCCATGTTCGGAGCATTTTTGGATGTTCAACCACATCGCACTACATAAGAACGACAACGACAAGGACAACCACCACCACCACCACCACCACAACAACAACAACTACTACTACTACTACTGCTACTACTATTACTGCTGCTGCTGCTACTACTACTACTGCTACAACTACAGCTATACAACTACTACTGCAACTACTGCAACTACTGCAACTACAGCTCCAACTACAACAACAACAACTACTACTGCTACTGCTACTACCACTGCTGCTACTTCTTCTACTACTACTACTACTTACTACTACTACTACTACTACTTCTTCTACTTCTACTACTACTACTACTACTACTACTACTACTAACTACTACTACTACTACTACTACTACTACTACTACTACTACTACTACTACTACTACTACTACTACTACTACTACTACTGACTACTACTGACTACTACTGACTACTACTGACTACTACTGACTACTACTGACTACTACTGACTACTACTGACTACTACTGACTACTACTGACTACTACTGACTAACTACTACTAACTACTACTAACTACTACTAACTACTACTAACTACTACTAACTACTACTAACTACTACTAACTACTACTAACTACTACTAACTACAACTAACTACAACTAACTACAACTAACTAACTAACTACTACTAACTACTACTAACTACTACTAACTACTACTAACTACTACTAACTACTACTAACTACTACTAACTACTACTAACTACTACGAACTACTACTAACTACTACTAACTACTACTAACTACTACTAACTACTACTAACTACTACTAACTACTACTAACTACTACTAACTACTACTACTACTACTACTACTACTACTACTACTACTACGACTACGACTACTACTACGACTACTACTACGACTACGACTACGACTACGACTACGACTACGACTACGACTACGACTACGGCTACTACTGCACATACTGCAACTACTGCAGCTACTGCATCTACTGCAACTACTACAACTACTAAAACTACAACTACAATTACAACAACCACAGCCACTACAACCACAACTATAATAGCAATAACTACTACAGCTACAACTACA